TTGGAGAGGTTTTCGCTACAGGGCGCGTGCACTCGCCAGACAGACAGAGAGAGACATAGAGATAGAAAGCGAGAAATCACCCCCTCGAGGGGATGGTCACACCACAATCCCTTCTTTTCCATTCTCCTCTCAGAATCTTGGGCACGCATGCACACGCGCCCGGCGTGAGTTTTAAGCCACCGGGTCCGGGACGTGAACCATGGTCGACTATGTGGGAATCCAGCGACATAGCCATTACACTAACTGCTGGTTCCCAAAAGTTTACAAAATTCTTAAAATATTTTGATTTTTGAGCTTATGTTTCATCTAGGTTTTTCTACTTTGACTTAAACTGATTTTCTTGACTTTTACATTTTTCTGTGCATATTTTTGCAAACTTCATTAATCAGAACAAGTCATCAAATGAATAGGTACATATGCTATACATGCTGAGATATTGAGTCATTTCACAGAGAAACTATTTTTTTTTTAATAAAATTGCCAGTACATTTTCCTCCCAATGAAACAGGGCATTAGGGAGATGAAGGAAACCTTTACAACAATCATTGGCATCTCACAGTATGGAGACATTGGCAAGTTTATCTTTTACTATCTGGGCTTTCACATTCAGTGTGTCATCCCAAATCTGAGATTTCAGTTAGGCTAACATCCCATCAAGGTTTTATTAAATAACAAGTGTGGGGGCCAGCAGGTGATGTGGTGGTTGGGGACACTGGACTCCCACATGACCAACTGAGGTTCGAGTCCTGGACCCCTGGCAGCTTGCTTTCTCGCTTTCCTCCTCCTCCTCCTTATTCTCTCTCTCTCTCTCCCCCTCTCAGGTCAAACTGAAATGATAGATAGATAAATGATAGATAGATAGATAGATAGACAGATAGATAGATAAAGTTAAATGGAATAATTATTTGAAAAAAAAAATAGCAAGTGTGACAAAATCCAGGAAGTAGACAGGTGTGCAAAGACACTCACATCGCTCTGGTTCTTGGCCGTCTTCAAGGAGTGCAGAATCTTGGGATCGTCGTTAATGCTGAGGGCCCCGATCATCTTCCCTTTGTTTTTCTCATAGTCCTTCTTGTACATCACCTGCAAAGACATCCCATGTGCAGGGTGCCACGCACCGGGGAACAGCCAGGCCCCCCTGCCCAGATCCACAGACCACACTCACATCGCTAGCGTTCTTGCTGTTGGCCTTGGCTGCCAGCAGGGGAATGGCGTCCACTTTAATGTCAAACTTCTTGGCTTTGCTTTTCTCCCAGTCTTGTTTGTAAACGTTCTGGACAGGAATATTTTAGGAAAGGAGTTATAAAGATAACACTGAACACAGACTACTCCAGTAAAGATAAAAAACAAATTGACCATTTTTATATAGAGATGTATTTCACCTATAAATTATTCATTTACCAAAGACGTGGGTAACTAGTTTCTTAAGTTATTTTATTTTATTTATTATTATTTTTAAAAATTTGACCAGAGAGAGAGAGAAAGAGAAAGTGAGAGAGCAAGTCACCAAGTCTAGGGCTTGAACCATGGTTTTTTTGGAGAGGTTTTCGCTACAGGGCGCGTGCACTCGCCAGACAGACAGAGAGAGACATAGAGATAGAAAGCGAGAAATCACCCCCTCGAGGGGATGGTCACACCACAATCCCTTCTTTTCCATTCTCCTCTCAGAATCTTGGGCACGCATGCACACGCGCCCGGCGTGAGTTTTAAGCCACCGGGTCCGGGACGTGAACCATGGTCGACTATGTGGGAATCCAGCGACATAGCCATTACACTAACTGCTGGTTCCCAAAAGTTTACAAAATTCTTAAAATATTTTGATTTTTGAGCTTATGTTTCATCTAGGTTTTTCTACTTTGACTTAAACTGATTTTCTTGACTTTTACATTTTTCTGTGCATATTTTTGCAAACTTCATTAATCAGAACAAGTCATCAAATGAATAGGTACATATGCTATACATGCTGAGATATTGAGTCATTTCACAGAGAAACTATTTTTTTTTTAATAAAATTGCCAGTACATTTTCCTCCCAATGAAACAGGGCATTAGGGAGATGAAGGAAACCTTTACAACAATCATTGGCATCTCACAGTATGGAGACATTGGCAAGTTTATCTTTTACTATCTGGGCTTTCACATTCAGTGTGTCATCCCAAATCTGAGATTTCAGTTAGGCTAACATCCCATCAAGGTTTTATTAAATAACAAGTGTGGGGGCCAGCAGGTGATGTGGTGGTTGGGGACACTGGACTCCCACATGACCAACTGAGGTTCGAGTCCTGGACCCCTGGCAGCTTGCTTTCTCGCTTTCCTCCTCCTCCTCCTTATTCTCTCTCTCTCTCTCCCCCTCTCAGGTCAAACTGAAATGATAGATAGATAAATGATAGATAGATAGATAGATAGACAGATAGATAGATAAAGTTAAATGGAATAATTATTTGAAAAAAAAAATAGCAAGTGTGACAAAATCCAGGAAGTAGACAGGTGTGCAAAGACACTCACATCGCTCTGGTTCTTGGCCGTCTTCAAGGAGTGCAGAATCTTGGGATCGTCGTTAATGCTGAGGGCCCCGATCATCTTCCCTTTGTTTTTCTCATAGTCCTTCTTGTACATCACCTGCAAAGACATCCCATGTGCAGGGTGCCACGCACCGGGGAACAGCCAGGCCCCCCTGCCCAGATCCACAGACCACACTCACATCGCTAGCGTTCTTGCTGTTGGCCTTGGCTGCCAGCAGGGGAATGGCGTCCACTTTAATGTCAAACTTCTTGGCTTTGCTTTTCTCCCAGTCTTGTTTGTAAACGTTCTGGACAGGAATATTTCAACAAAGAAACTGAGGAAAGTGCTATGCGTATCATCACTTTTTATTAAAAGAATTATTTATTTAATTTTATTTATTCATCCATTTATTTTAATTTGACCAGAGAGAGAGAGAAAGTGAAAAGGCAAGCCACCAGGTCTGGGACTCAAACTGTGGTCGGCCATGTGGGAGTGTCCAGCACCTTAACCACCAGGCCACCTGTTGGTCCCCAGCATGTCATCACTTTAAAGCCTAAGGAGTAACTAATTTCCTTGTCTTAGTATAAAAGAAATGGACTCTTTTCATTGTCCAGGAAATCACAGTACTTTAGATAATTCTTCTCAAGTTAGAGTGTCAAATCCTCCGGGATCAGGCTTCTCTACTCTCCTCTAGAATCTTTTATCGCATTAACTTAATTCTAGTTATCATACTGATATTCATTTCCTAACACTGAATGTTTTACTGAGTGGCACAAATATTCTACAATTAACTTACTTCTTATGGCATAAAGGCACCATTTTCATTTGATCTCTGAGTCCTCTGCAAAGGTTATTTCATGAATCACTACAATACTCATTGATGCAAGATAATCGCAGTGTTGATTATCAAAGGGTAATTTAATTTTTCTATAAAATTAAGTTTGGAAAATAAAAGCTAGCTAGCAATGGCTATCTGGCCTTCTGTCCTTTAAATACTCTTGATTTTAATCAGCAAAAACTCTCTGACATATAGAAATAAATATCATTTGTATGAAATAAGAGATATTAGAAGCCTGATGAATAAACAAAATAAAATGGTATCTTAAAAAATAAGATCCTAAAAGTAACATAAATTATAGTATCATTGTAAATGAACATATGGCTAAAAGATCTGACATTAAGATTTACAATTAAGCAAATATCAGTAGGGGCTTTTGAGGGTTGGCTAAAACATATTAAGGTTGTCTAATTGTATGAAACTATAAGATTGCTACACATATTTTGTAAATTGAATTCAAAGTTACATTGGCAGAGACATAAGAACATGATACAAATTTTAACTATTCTTCCCACCTTTAATACTGAAATTCTGTGGCAATGAAGCCATCAATACAAAAAATAGTAAAATATAGTAAAAGCACAGGTTGTCAATATATTATGTAGCATGGTACAAAAAGTACTTACATCACTCAGGTTATATGCATTCACTTTGTGCTGGATCAGGGCAGGAGTGTCAGGAGGTATATGGCACTTGAACTTCTCACTTTCATGTTTTGCTTTGTAATTTAGCTAAAATAGAGTGTACGAGAAAGAGAGAGAGAGAGAGAGAACACTAACCTATTGGTTCAGAAGAATTGTTCCAAAATACAAAAGCCCTTGTGTGAGACATTTTTAAACTAACTGACAAAGTTGTTAAAATTAAAAGAGAGATGCAGGGTTTGGATAAGCCACCCTTCATTACTGAACCTGTGTGATGCACACTTAACAACTGTTATCACCTCTGTCACCATGGTAGGACCCAGATGGAATGAAGTGGCTCTCTCATACATGTTCCCCTTCATGCATATCACAACTGGCCCTGTAGATTCTTTTTTTTTTTTTTTTTTTTTTTTGGCGCCTTTTTGGCTATTGGGCCT